TTATTTATATATATCTTTTATAAGTCCAACATCCTTTGATCCTTTTTTTTTTTTCCCCGATGTGGGGAAAAAGAAAATCTTGCCATTTTTCTTTTTTTCCAAACAAGCATCCTCCAGGTGAAGCGCCCGAGGCTGGTCCCGTCCCACCGGCTTTGGTTTAAGAATCCGTTTGGAGCCTCTTTTCCTCGTTTCTCCTGGGAAATCGGTAGCAGCAAATGAGTGCTTTGAAAAAAAAAAAAAAACAAAGGGAGAATTTTTTTTTTTTCCGGGGCCGTGGTCCTTTCTCCTGGCGAGGGATTCGGTGAGTCCCGGCGAGCGGCCGGTGGCGAATCTCAGCCCCGGCGCCGCATCGCTCTCCTCCTTCCTTGTCTTCCTCGCTCTCTCATTCCCGTTAAGTAACAAACAAGACCGGTTTGGGAAAAAAAAATCAAAAAAGAAGAGAAAAGCTACGACCAGATTGGCTCTCTTCTTCGCCGTTTTCTCCATCACCTCCTCCTCTTCTTCCTCCTCCTTTTCTTCCTCCTCCAGGACGTGTTGCAAAGAAAGAGAGTTACGGGTTTGGATACTGCACTTGGGGAAGGGGAAAGTCGTCAGACACCGCGGGACGCCCGACCTGCAAAACAGCGAAGGGGCCGTCAGCCTGTGCCCTGGGGGTGGGGGGAAGGACGGACGGAGAGAGGACGGAGAGAGGGACGGAAGGAAGGACCCAAATCCCAGTTTGAAACACACACACACAGGTGGTCCCGGGCGCAGACCCCCACACACACTCGAGGACATTTTTGGAGAAAACACGGCACCTGCGATGCTTTAGGTGAGCCGAGCCCCACTGCCAGGTCCCCCGGGGCATCGCAGCGGGGTGCAGCAGGGCCAGGCCCCCTGTCCCCCCCTTACCTCTCTGCAGGGCCAGGGTGAGCAGGGGTCAGTAGGGTCTGTTGGCATCTTTCGGCCGCTTTAGCTGGACTTTTAGCCTCTTCATGCCGATCTGGAAGCCGTTCATGGCCTGAATGGCTGCCTGAGCGCTCGTCGGATTGTCAAAACTGACGAAACCTGGGGGCGAGGGATGAGGTGACAGAGGAGTTTGTCACCGTAAACATCACAGGCTGACGCTTTACTTCAACCAAGGTGTGGAAATCCCACGGGATGCTCCTGCGGGCAGCCTCAGGTGGAGCCCCAGGTTGGGAGGCGGGGAGAGGGGGATGGTGGGGCAACGGTGCAGCCCCGGATTGCAGGGCACTGGGTGATGGGCTGATGGCATCTTTGGGTTCACCAAGGTCTGCAGGTCTGCGGGGACACTGGGGTAAGGTCCACAGGGACACTGGAATGGTCTCTGGGGACACTAAGGTGATGGGATTTGTGGGGACACTGGGGTGACAAGGTCTACCAAAGTGATGGGGACTGCAGGGACACCACGGTGATGGGGTCTGCGGGGACACTGGGGTAACAGGGGCT